CCAGAATTCCAAGGGAAGACAAGGGTTTCGAGTTTTCGACTTTGGATATATTCGTTATCTTCTTTGGCTAATAGCTTAAAGCGGAGAAAATAAAAATGTTTTTTAGAGTTAAGAATTTAAAAGAGAAATTAAAAAGGTTTAAAAGCTAAAGTAATTTATATGAATCGAAGATTAAAAAGGCTTATATTTGTTTCCTAGAAAATATTATAAAAGGTGTCATTTTAACACATTTTTTACTTAAATTAAAAAAGGTTAATTATGTAAATATGCCTTTGAATAATATGTTGTTCATATATATGATGATAATAAGTTAAGTCCACAAATAATTAGCTTTAGGTAGAAGTAAATTAATTAAAACCTTAATTAGTTTACACAGTTACATTGGAATTGCATATAGTTTTTTTTTAAATGGATGGAGTATTAGTTGAGCTATACAAAAAAATTAGCAATGAATGAAGGAATAGCTTTGGCTCTTTTGAGAATGATGCATGTTACGCCTTTTATATTTGTTTTATTGTCTACTAAAACCAAAATTATGTCTATTCGAAAAACAAAATCGGTTTCGATAACTTTTTTAGGCTGTGTAAATTACAAGTTACTTAAAATAAAAATTATTATTTTTGGATATAGTGGTACTGCAATTTTGTTTCCAATAATGATATATCTATCATATAATAAAATTCTATATGATGGAAAATCTTTTGGTCTAATGATTATGTGAAATATATTTATACACACGTTTCTTTCTTTCAAACGGATTTGAACATTTTAGTAAAATATATTAATATATTATGCATAATTGCTTTCAACGTTTAAGAATACTTATCATTATTTAACCGTACTTTGTAACAACATTTTATATAAATTTGCACCCATATTCCCTACTCTATGCTGCTACTCGATCTTGGTGGTGCCAATTGAACTTCAAACCTCACAAAAGTATATGACAAAGTTAAGATGAAAAGGCAAAATCAATGAAACGAGAACGATGAAGAAATAACTAAATGAAGCAGACATACCTTCATTGTGTTTCGTCTAAGAGAAAGGAGACAAACGGAGAAGTAGATAACTCAGGAAGGAGAAAGACGGANAAATCGAGGAATGAGCAAGNACACAGATGAAGAGCACGAGGTCTNAGGCGATGATNAAATGAAACCAAAACAGATCTAGGTCGAATTTCATCAAGTATAGAAAAAATCGAGGCCGACGGGGAGGAAAGTGACTAAGGTTGAAGACGGCGACAGATTTCGCCGACACGGAGGAAAGTGAATTTTAGGGTAAGATTTGTTTTTTGCCTAAGTGTTGAACACAACAAAACCTCTTATTTTTTTTTTCTTTTGGGTCAAAAA